TTCTTTCCATGTTGGTACTCCCCGATACACGCCACCGCGAAGTACAGCCAACTTTCGCCGACCCGGACGTTGATGTGGTCAACGAGGGCCTTGGAGAGGAATCAGAAGAGGTGAGTCCCCACCAGATATCATCACCCCAGTCTCATCCGCTTCTCCCTACATGCCGTCCCTCGCCGCACCACTGACATTCCAGCACAGAACCATATCCAGCCTGATAGATACCGGGTCTTCCCACAGACTGATTCGGGTAGACATCGCAAGGACCTACCGGGGGGAGTAAGGCACAGCAACCACGATCGCTTAGTAGCCGCAAACGGTTCGGCAATAAAGACGGAAGGAGTGCTAATTGCAACGTTCAGCCTGGGAACACATCGATTACGGCACAAGTTTATAATCTCCCCAGAAATCCCATTCGAATGCATAATCGGACTGGACCTCCTGAAGTCGGCGAAAGGTCAAATAGACACCTCAACCGCCAAACGATGCGAGAAGGCAGAATCCCAACATTACAGGTAAACCTGTCAATGCCAACGCAAAATACTGCCCCTTCCGTCCGGCAGAAAATCTGTGACTTGATTAAGAACAATGCTCCAGGACTAGAGCCCAAATACGCCAAGGAACTCCAGCGAGTGATCGAGAAGTACGCGGACGCATTCACTTGGAGTGACACGCAGTTAGGGCGGACAGGCCTAGTAAAACACCGAATAGACACGGGAAGCGCCCCACGTATACAGATTCCCCCTAGGCGCATACCGGTATTCTGGATGAACGAGTTAGCCAATACCATACGGCCCCAAAACAGCTTTGTTCACACCCTCAGGGCTCTACGAATTCCAGACAATGCCGTTTGGGTTAGTGAACGCACCGGCTACGTTTCAACGATTAATGCAACAGGCTTTGAAGGGCCTGATCCCAAACTAATGCCTCGTTTATCTGGACGATATAGTCGTTCACGGAACCACGGAAAAGAAACACTTGGGTAATCTAAAAGCAGTCATCGACAGACTGAGAAAAACTGGCCTCCACCTGAAACCGGAAAAATGCCACTTCATGCAGTCTCAGGCTGCATACCTTGGACACACCATCTCGGCAGCAGGAGTTCACACAGACCCAAAGAAAGTCGAACAGGTGCAATCCTGGCCCACACCACAGAGCTTGGAAGAAGTCAGGAGCTTCCTAGGTCTAGCGTCTTACTACAGGCGATTCATTGGCAACTTTGCTCAAATTGCGTCTCCCTTACACGCGAGGTTGGAAAAGAACAAACCATTTAGATGGGACTTCGAATGTGAAAAGTTATTCCAAACACTCTTTTGTTCAGCAACCATTTTGGTACTACCTGACACGTTCCCGTCAGCTGGGCAGTTTATTCTTGACACAGATGCCAGCGACACAGCAATTGGCGCAGTACTGTCACAAATCGGACGAGACGGAAAGGAACACGTTATGGCCTACGGGAGCCGATGCTTAAGCAGAAGCGAAAGAAACTACTGTACCACTCGAAAGGAGATGTTAGCAGTGGTGTTCTTTCTGAGACATTACAGGCACTACTTAGTTGGCCGCAGATTCATTTTCCGTACCGATCACCAATCCCTACGCTGGTTACAAAACTTCAAAGATGCTGAGGGTCAAGCGGTGCGGCGGCGGGAGATAATACAGGAATTTGACTTCGAATGCCTCCACAGACCCGGGAAACAGCACAGTAACGCCGACGAGCTATCTCGACGCCCTGCCCGTTACCATGGCGATTGCCCAACCTGCACCAACCAATACGTAGCAACAGTGTGGCTGCAATGCGCGGGCGTTGGCAAACGACTCAAGCGAATGATCCAGAAACAGCGTTGATCTACGATCGAGTTCGCACAGGCGGTGATCGACTAACAAGCAGAGGAATGGAGGGAAAAAGCTACGAAACTCGGTGCCTTTGATCGATGTGGAATCAGTTGAAAATGACAGAGGGAGTGCTATTTGTTCACTACGGCCCAGACTACAAATCACGAATAGTGGTGCCGCAAACATTGGTTCGTGAGGTCCTGCAAGACCTGCATACAGAGTTGGGTCACGCGGGTATCAACAAACTGGAGTTTGCAGCGAGACAACGCTTTTGGCGGCCACACATACATAGGGACTTGGCAGATTTCTGCAACACATGTGAACTCTGCGGCAGTTACAACAATCCGTTCCACAGTTATCGGGCACCACTCCAGACAATCACTGTCGGATACCTAAATGAAATAGTTGGCGTCGACATAATCGGACCCCTACCAAACACGCTAATGGACCACAGGTGCATTCTTTTATTGGTGGACTACTTCACCAAACGGTGTGAGGCCGTACCACTAAAACATGTCGACGCTGTGACCGTGACGGATGCGATACTCGACAGATGGGGTGCACCCGGTCAACTGCACTCGGACAGTGGAACAAACTTCGAGAGCGCTCTACTGAGGGAAGTGTGCAAAGCCCTGGGAACAGATAAGACTAGAACAACAACCTATCACCCTCAGGGCAATGGCCAAGTGGAGAGAACAAACCGTTCCTTAAAAGCGCTACTAAAGGCCTTCACGGACACCAAACCCAAAGAATGGGACCGCGTACTACCACACTGCCTCCTCGCGTACAACATCACGGTCCAAACGCCGCACTTCCTGTGGACTGGCAGAGAGATGAGACTCCCGAGCGACAACCGACTACTNCGGACCGGCCGAGTATGATTCCACCAGACAGACGACGCCTGGGGTACCGACGAAACTTCACAAAGAATGGCGCGGACCGTTTGTGGTAGAACGAAACAAACTGTCATTCGGGAGGTTGGACCGACGCAACCATCCTTCGTGGCACACTTCAACCAACTCAAACCGTACCTACCACACGCCTCGTCGGAGACAGATAACAAGTAAGACACTGCGAACCCGCCAGAGGTTACCGTTGAAGTACAAGTACCGGTTGAAGGAGGTTCTGCTAGGACGTTGAGGACGACAGTTTCGGGAGAAGGGGATAGTGTAGTGTGAAATCGAAACTGACTGACGTTCAGTAACTGAATACCGAATTGCCGTTAACAACCACTCTCCCATTTCCCTTTACAGGCTGTACAAACTGCGTGGCGCCTGACACCGTGACAGAAGACACTGAGAGCAAAGAACAAAACAGCACCCACACGTAACATTGCCATTTTGTATTGTAACCATTCCATATCCCTATAGTGTTGCTACGTTTGGCATCAATATAACTTCGTTCGAACCCTTTGAGTCTTCTCCCTGTTTGGAACATACTACACTTGGACTATGTTTTCAGTTCTTCCAGTATTGTAGATAATGCGTGAGTAATTTGTAGCCAAATAATTTATCAAGTTATTTAGGCTAGAATATTTTCAATAATTTGCTTATTTACGGTGCACTGAATGATGAGAGATTGGAAAGTTAGAATACGTCTTCTCAACTTAGTAGAGACTCTCATGGGACAGGAATCATCTATTAAAACGAATGAACTCCCATGCTGCTAAAATATTTTCCAAATCAGAGCCGTAACTTTCGAACTACTACAAATATTATCTCAACACTCAAGGTCACGCTAATTCAAACAGTGATAGCAGAGAACTAAGAACAGATGTTGGAGATAAAGTTACCCACAGCCATTTACATATAACTATGATATTGCAAGCTGAAATGGATTTCCAAAATGAAGGTGATGTTGCACGAGTTTGGTCAAAACCTGTATGAACTGGTGCTGAAGCGCCTATCCAAACTAATTTATCCGGTGTTGTGCATGAGGTATTGGTGTCGAATACATAGACAAATATGTATAATAAAAGGAAGTAAAGAGAAAAGTCGAATAACGGTATGGACTGACGTGCACCCCGAAGAAATATGATGATGATAGACTGAGTAATGAATCGTATTTCGGCAGACCGTTTACTCACCACATGTTCAATCGTAGAACCGTTTCTCAGAATTAAACCCTCCTCCAAATCGGGTCGTTCTATGAGGAAAACACAAAGTAAGAGGACCGGGTTGGATCAAATGCGTCAACTTACGACCGCGTTTTTTGGTGAACACTTGAATCAGATCTAAATGTTCCCAAAGTTTTTCCAATAGATAGTCCAAATTGAGCTTCATATTGCAACTGCAAAGAATGAAACAAAAATGTGGAATGAGTATCAGAGAACCAAACAAACAAACACTGCGTACATTTTTGATGACATTTCAGACAAGTGTGGCACACCGTTGAACGGTGCAGAGGAGGACACGGATGATCAGCAGACATCAAAATAAAATGCATGACCCAGACAAACATAACCAGATGAAGTGCTTGTCTAAGGCAAACACACACACAGAGAACGATCACAGTGAAGTCAATGTCACACGGTGCACTTTATTGGAAAATTGAGGTGGGCAGGGGTTGATGATGATGCACAGCTTACCTGACAACAACGGAGTGTGGTTCACGAGCGAGCCGATTCACCTCTTGCAATGAGACTTGATCAATTTTGTTGTACACCTACGGAATGAGAACAGTCAACGCTCCCAAACGGAACGTACATAGAGGCAGCCCACGTACACACGGTTTCCCGACAGAACATCAATAAACTCGTCCGGGGTGCAATCTTCTCGAAATATGACCTCGGCATTAAAAATTTCTGATCACAGACCGCTAAGGAAGGAATGATGCGATTGCTATTTGACGAACAAATAAACAAAAATTAATATTTGACGGATTTCATGCGAAGAAAAACCCAATCATCATTCCTGTATTCGTTGACTGCTTATTCACTGGATAAAAACGAAATACGATTAGACTGAGCCACCCCCACCCCCGAAAGTGGATGAGGATGAAATCGGATTGATGGCCATTAGCAAATTACAGGGAAAATCTAACTCCCCTATCCCAGAATTACTGCATTCACAATGGAAAGTGGATTTAGATCAATCACTCTGTCTCGCTGGAAGTTGACAACGTCGTCCCGATTTGACTGGATCCTCATTTCATAACAACGTGTTACACTCCAGTTCGAACCCAAGCGAGTTAATGCTAAGGTGCATCATTAAAAGATATGAAGCCCGATATATTGGAAAACTCCGCTGTTCAGCAACCTAAATTGTATAGTACAGACATGGTAATGAGCCAATCCACAGGGAATTTGCTTACCAACAAAGTAGGATGGTGATAGAATGCTCCAACGTCCTTACCTTAGAATCCAGCCTACACCATCGACAGTGATTCAAAACAGCCGGTCTCTAGCACCCGATTATTCCTAATATGAACGGGACAAAGGCCTCAGGAGTTTCTCGGTGTTAAGTGATGAACACGTCGGAAAAAGACAACTGCAGCGAAAGTAAGCAGATGCACCAGAATAGATTAGAATACGCCATTACCACGATCAGGTGATACAGGCAAGTGCGAGAAACCAACAGTGCTACCAATCAGCCAAACATAACTGCAAGACCCAAAAACTAAATGGGTAAATTACTTCATCCTGCCAAACTCGATTTCATGTATGCATTTGCAGATGGATGTTTCGCTTCCTCGCTTTCTATCTCCTCACGGAATTGATTTTTCCCAGAGTGGACCAAACAGCACAGGGACAGCAGAAAACAGGTTATTCGTCTAGTGTAATGAATGCTCACCATATCCAATCGCATCTCTCTCTCTCTCTCTGCTTCCACATGCCATCACTCAAGAACAAACAGACGAGGTATAGAATTCAAAGAACAATAGCCAAGCCATACCGTAATCCTCCCTCTGCGACCTTGACTCCTCGCTGACCTGTATTTATTGATG